ACAGAATATTTCCCACACCCAAATACCATGCCCCCCCTCCCCATTTCAATGGCAGCCAAAAGCAAGCAGCAAAACAGAGGCTGACTTGTTAACTGAGGATTACCTGTATATTTGAGCATCTGACATTCTTCTAAGTAATTCCTTCCAGTCCTTTGAAGAGACCTATCATATTTTCCTTCAGTCATTTTTATTCTTCAAGTCAATTTTACATAACCTCTCCTAACCCACTCTTCAGGAGACTGATTTATACATTTCTGAACATTCTCACTGGTACTTTTAAAGTTTGTTCTACTTTCTTTTAGTCTTTCTGAAAATGTACTTCCCAAGATTGGAAATAATATAAATGTGGGCTCTGACCAATGTGGGCTCTGAGCAATACATACAGTAAAATAGAACTTGCTATTATTTCTTATGATTCCGTTGGCTTTCCCTCTAACAAATGGCTATTTTCGTGACTATATCACATATAGTATATCACATCATAATGGGTTTGCAATCAACTTAATCAACCAATAGATTTTTGTCACAAGCCAAGGATTATTCATTCCATACCTGCATATTTGATTTCTAATGTTTCTAATCCCTGAGCTTTTATGAAAATTAAATCATAATAATGAACAAAATGCTTTAAATACTTAAGAAGATATAAGGGGTAAGCTATGGATTTATAACTTTTGAGGTGAAGCTAAATGTTTGCTATATGCCTTTGAGTTAGATGCCTTAGGCTACAGTCCAAAAGTAGATGTGACCAGGACAAAAAGCTAAATTAATTTAATTAAATTAACATTTAAATGAAAATTAAATTCATCATATTTAAGGGGGGGGATCCTCTTTTATACATACAATTTTGAAAAGTGGCATGTGGTTATATGTTACAAGCTCACAATGTATACATCCATAACAATAAAGATCTATCAAATATATCTGTTGGATGTTGATCTTGATGAAGTGTGAAAATAAGAACATTTCCAGAGCACTGGAACATATTCACAGAGTCCAGAAAATTGTGATTCATGAAAAATGCCCTGTCCATTTTGTTGAAGGTATTGTTTTCATATTTTATGGCAAGATTAGGTCATCTGGACCCTTCCAAGCAGCTTGGACTTCAATTCCCACTACTTTTAGCCAGTATGCCAGCTGGATATCATGGAAACTGTATTCTAACACATCTTGAGGATAGATAGATGGCTACTCTTGTTTAATGATGCCTGCTAGACTGAATGCCAATTAGATGCTACAAAAAGCCCATCTGCTATATGAAGCATGAATCTTTTTTTTAGCACATCTACATTTTAACAGCTTCTCAGTCTAGTTGATGCTTTATCTCATGCCTGCCTCTGAATCATGAATTAAGTTCCATTGATCTTGACAAATTTGCAATACAATGTAAATAGAAAGTGTCATTTTACTTCCCCCTGCCCCCGCCCCCTGGTATTCAGCTAATTAATTTGCATGTAGGCTTCCAAGACAGGCAGGCAGGCCTATCAATCTTATTTATGGTTAAAGACCACAATACAAATGTCAATACAAAAACCGCAAAGTTGGATAGTGCATAAAAATCCACAAGGATGATGGATGGAGATAGAGATATATGATAGATATGAGAGAGACAGAGAGAGTCAGAAAGAGATCAGCAGACAATTTTTATTGATTGGTAAATACTGTACATACATCAATACAAAAACTGCAGAATTTGATTACCTAGAATAAACAATAGGATTACAATTTTAAACAAAGGAAAACAATAGCAATTTAGTAAAATCTACACTTTTCTTGAAATTACCCTTGGCTTGTCAACTAAAAGGAAAGGAATAAAGGTTTTTTCTGAAAAATACACAGTAGTAAGGACAGAAATTCCTGCTTGGTCAGTATTAAGGATCACCCAGGTCTCCTTTTGTGTGTATGAAGGTTACCAAGATCTTCATATTCTACTAAGGTTCTACCTTAATCGATGTTTTACTGTTATCTCCCAGGCTCCACAAATTCTCACTGAAAAGAGCAGCCAAGTGGCAAATTGAATTCTGGTTGTTATTGGGGAAGCAAATACTAGGTCCTTTCTACTGGTAAAAACACCTCAATGTATCAATGTAGCTGCGGGGGTTTAAGAAAGGTATGACCATTCAAAGTTACAGTAACACTGAATGAATGTTAATTATGTGTGGACCTGGAAGTTTTGGTCATTCCAGCATCAGCACAGCACCACTACAGTCATATGATCAAAATTGGGGTGCTTGGCAGTCCACTTATACCACAAGGACTCTAATTCACACACCCTCTTCTCTCTCCAATCTTTGTCCTTTGGGCTGCCCTACACAGCAGCACTCCTCAGTGGCAGCACTGATGCTGAAGTAGAAGCCCAGAGCTGTCAGCAATTTCCTTGCTGGCAGAACTGAGGTGTACCACCTCAAATCCCATGCCGCAGCCAGCCATCCCAGTGCCATAGTACAAAGCTGTCAAACATCCTGCATGCCAGACCCTGCCACACCCAGCTGATCTTTGTCATCTTCATCACATTGTTGCAGTGGTGGGTTGCAGGTGCAGCTGCCCG